CCGCTGCCCGCGGCGCCTCGGCACCTTCCCTGATGGGGAGGCAGCCGGCTCCGGAGGAGGGAAGGGCGAGCTTGGGAGTCGCGGGGTAATCAACCCCTCAGCCGGGAGGCGTGTTGTTTTCTTAGTTTCCGGAGGGTACGGGAGATGGGATGCAAGTCCTGGCCTCCGCACTCGGCGGTGTCTGTGGAGGTGAATGCACTCATCAGGGGGCCCGGAGATGCTGGAGGCATAGGGGAAGGGGGATGTTTTGGAACAAATTTTTTTCTGGTCCCGTTTCTGGCTCAGGGATGTGCGGGAAGTGGGAATAGCGCCGTGGGCAGGTCCTGCTCTTCCCTCTTCCGCAGTGTCTGAAGGTTGGGCTGGGCTGCTGTAGGGTCAAGTTGATGCTAATCCATATTAGGAGCATTGTGACAAATTTAAGGCGACCTCTGCTCCTAGCTGATATAATAAAAGATTGGCATATGATGAGTTAACTTTTTCTAAAGGTCTCTTGTTCCAGTGCTGAGTGTGTATTTTCCTTCACAGGGATATGTAAAAGTAGTCGTATTGCTTCTGCTCTCTAAAAAACTGCCAAATTGTTGTCTTGGGAAGAGTAGAGCAAGGTAGTGACCTAAAATATTCTGAGTGCTGACGGGTTTCAGGAGTCGCAGGTATTGTCTCATTTAGCAGCCACTACAGAGCTCTCTTTCATAAGCCTAACGGTTCACTTCTTGAGTCCTGTAAACTTTCAGTATTTGTAATATCCTGTACTGAGGAATTCATAGCTTAACCTCAGACCCTGAGAAGCAATGCTACCTTTTGTTTGTTCTGAACCTCGCCTCTTTCTGATTTAATTTTATGCCCCTTGCTCTTTTCTTTTTTTTCATTTTGAAAGAATCAATGAATAGTTGGTGTCTGTTTACTCTTTATCAACACTTGTGATTCCTATCATATTTACTCTGAGTTATAAAAAGACTTATGTTTTTGTTCTTTATGTGTATCCTATGCTTGCAACATGTGTCCCATGCTGGAATGCCGTACTCCTTGTGCCAGCATCATTAGCTGTGTGCTCTTTGTCCCAAGCTTATTTTTTGATTTTAAAAAGCTTACATTCTCTTCTGTGTCAGATGTAAAATACATAGCATGAAGGCTCTGTTTGACCAGTTTGCCAGTGTTCAGCTGCACACAAGTTATTCTATAGGGAACTTAAGCTTATGAGACACATTTGGCATTTTAACTTAGTATTTCCATAAAAAAAAGATGCATTTAAATGTTCTTCTTAGAAGGAATTTACGGAGATCTTGGAAAAACAATGAAAGATGCGATTTGTAATCAGTAGGAGGAAACTGAATATGCAGCTTGATTTGCTTAGATGATGAGGCTATGATTCTTTTGGAGTCCAAAATGTTTTCACACAATTTGGTATCGTGTGAAGATCCATACCTTTAAAAGGAGTATTTTTTTACTTTACTTTGCTGTGCCTGTATGTGTAAATCTGATAGACTCCTGGGAGTCTCCTTGCCACTGGTAACTTCTGCTCACTTTTTAAAACTGGGATACTTGATGCAAACAAGACTGGCAAATATTGCAATATTGTAGCACACAAGCCATGATACAGTACACACTGAGTGCATGCTTTAACTCATGTTTTAATCATATCAAAACTATTTAGAGACACTTTTGAAAACTGTTATTGATTGACCAAGTGCAGGTTTTTTTTTCCCTCCCCCAGTGAAATTTGGGGGCAAAGGAGGAGAAATCAAAGAGAATGCAAAGTGTATGTGGCCATTTTTTTTTCAATGAAAAAACTGAGATTTTCCTGATATACACATTGCCTTTCAAATACAACAGTGGCTTTGTTACAACTTTTCTTAAAAATAGAGTGTTTAGAGTGCTAATGAATGCCAGGTGACGAAAGATGATAGGAAGATGAACTAACTGGGGGTTTTTTTCTACCTCAAATAGGAGTCAGGGATGCTTTAACTGGATTTATCATTCATCTTGCAATGTCCCTAGTGCACCTCTTCACAGAACCTCATGTCTTTTTTTTCTTTTAGCCAACAGTGATGAATAAGGCATTGCCAGAATCTATAAAAGGTAGGAAGGACATATGTTACTCACTTTTTATGAACTGACTGTGATGCCCAGGACCTCTGCAAGTTGCTTTTATCTCCAGGGACATGTATAGTGGATCTGGGCACAAAACCCTGCAATCCCGGCTCTTAGTCTTATACCTTTACCTTAAGCTTACACCTGTGCTCACCCTTGAAGCGCATCAGGGTCGCTTGTCTTCAAATAAATTGTGAAGGGTACCTGTCTTGACAAATCCGTCCTTCTGCATGTGGTTGCAGGAGGAAAATCAAGTTTAATACTCTGCAGCTTTTGATTATGGCAGTTTACATGTTGCATTCATGTACTGGGGATTCAGATATCTACGGGAGTCCTAGATTTTTAGTTCCTGTATGACTGTGCAGCTCCACCTTGGTGTAGTGTTATTTCACAGCTGTGCAGCTGTTTCACAAGCTTGTTTCTAATGCTCTTTGGAAATATTTATTATCCAATAAACATAATCTTGGATTCATAGAATTTAAGATCATTGATATTTGGTCACTAATATCGTTCCTCTCCTATAAAATTTGAAGTATACCTGCCTGTAGTGAGACTGTTGATGCACTGAGGTTTGTGTGATTGAGGTGCCCAAATACTTCATGCAGACCACTTTGTTTTCACTGTGATTCCCTAAGAAATACCGCTTACGTGGCAAAGCTTATCTGTGTTTCATCCCTGCAAAAAAATTTCTTTAAATCGATAAACCAATTTCAGCCTAATTTAACAGGGGTAGAGGTTTTAAAAACATTATATGAAAGGTTTTGGGTGGTTTCTTTTATTGTTTTGAAACAACTTTTGTGGCAAAAGGGATGAGGCCTTTCTAGCATTCACAGTGAGGGGACAACCAGTGAGAATTGCACTCTTGTTAGGCATCAGTAATATGTGCATGGGAGCAGAACCTCAAGGCAGAGCTCTGCAGAAAATGAACCTCCTTGATTCTGCTGTTCACGTGGAGCTCTGGGTTGTGGACTGCATAGTTCCTACTGTGCTGCTGCAGTCTGACTTGGCTTGTTGATTTTTTTTTTTCCCCCTCTGCTGCCACTCAGGCTTTTCCTATGTGTTTTGTTTCTCTTGCAGGTAAATGGCGGGACAGAAAGTGGTATGAAAACTTTGAAAGGCACTGAGAAGTCCAAGTAGGTCATTCATTACTGAAGAGTATTAGGGATGAGGTCTCCTATTTAACTTTTTGACTCTTTCTTGGCATGCATTCGCAAAGTCTGGCACTTGTCCATTCATTTGGCACTTGCCTAAAACAATAGCGAGTAAGCTGAGTTGTGGAACAGTAACGCACTCTTGATTAAATTGCTGAGAACCCCTTTCTCTTCCCTGTCAAGTCTGGCGGCTAAGCTGCACACACGAAAAATCTTTTAACTCTTTTGCATGGGTGAAAATGGTAGGATGTACTTAGAACTGCCTTATCCACTCAATCCATTGTTGAAAGTTTCTGTCTGACTTCATGTATCAGGTGGACAGAGTGAATCATCTCTGATCTAGTTTTTGTTACTGAAAGATGAGCAATTAAGTAATTTAGATTTCCTAACTTCTGCCTGCTCCTGATAAAGCAGTATCAAACTTCTGAACCTGCAAAACAAGGAGGGATTGATCAAAGGTGGTGGCTGAACAGAGTGACACGGCTCAATACAGGTGATTTCGGCTGAACTCCTGGTGCATTTTCTGTTCATTTTTGGCCAAAATGGAGCTCTATCCAAACTGGAAAGAGTTACGGAAGACCTGACAAACTCTCTGAAAATGAGGTTATCAAAGAGCAATATCAAAGCTAAAATCCACCTAACAAAGAGGCATCTGGTGTTAACTTAGCAAAGGAACAGACATATCCTACTAAGAAGTAGTTCCTCTGCCAAGAATTTTTCGAAGCACAGGAAGTATAAAAAGCATAAATCTAGAAAGCCCCAGAAGAATTCAGGTTCATGTTTCCTCTCCGTTTTTTGTCACTGTTTTCTCCCTTCTCTCAGCAGACAGGGAACTCTCCTTCAGAAGTATTAAAGGGAAGATCCAGAAGTTTTTTTCTCTCCCACCAAAAAAATTTGATGCAACATGAAGTTATTCTGTGATTTCACTTATGATCGCTTTGTGGGGAGGGGGAGTGGAATCCAAATAGAGAATTTCCCCAGCAAATGTCCAGCTGGGTTACGGGAGAGCAAGCTGTCCATGCTAATGATACCAGAAAATACGTAATTAGGTCAGAACAGGAGCAGCTCTCCAGATGATGTCTCGACATGTTGACTGAAATCTTACACATTCCAAAGGAAGTGCCAGGTGTGCAGGCAGCGAAGGCAGACTTTGCAACATCTTCTGAGAAGGAGACTAACCCAAACAGGAAAAAAAAGTTTTCTAATTCAAAGGCACTGATGGACAAGATAGAAATAGCTCTCATCTACATATTTTTGTGCAACACTTCTTTGTGGGGTGGTTGGGTTTGGTAGGGTTTTTTTTATTCTTTGAAAATTATTTCCATTCTGCTGTAACTGCTAGAACTCTTCATGTTCTGATGATCTTCCACCTTAACTGTAACGAAAGTTCTTCCTCTGGCAGGACTAAGCAACCCAAATTACCTCTCGCTACTTTGGATTTTCCATTCACTTTCTCTTGCTGAGTAACCTTTAAACTTGGCTTTGAAGCTTGTGCCCAGCTTTCTGTTTCTAAATTCTAAGTCTTGTTTTTGATGTGTTGATGTGTTAATCTGTATTTTTCTCTTTTTCAGTTCTTGTTACCTGTTGTATGTGGAGTTTTTATCTCTAAAGTTTTCTTCAAAAAGTCTTTTGAAGCTCACCAAAAAAACCCCAAACAAACCCTAGACTAATTTTCCTGCTCTTGGTAATGTTTGTTGGTAATTCTGTTTTCAGAGTATGGGTTTTTTTTCAGCATATATTTATATTCAAATAGCATGCAGTGCCAAGTTCAGGGGTGCTTGAGAAATAAAAAGAATTTTCCATGCAAATTTGAATCCCAGCTTCTTGCTATCTTATGAGAGTTTTATTGCTAGGCAAATTGTTTACAAGAAAAAAATAAACAGACTTCATACACTTTGAACAAAGCGATATGTGGATTTAATAGAAAAAGCCTGATGGAGGTAATATTGTTTGCTTAGTTGTGGCTTAAATTAAAAAAAACTCTTGTCTTCCATATGTAAATCTTTAACCAAACGACATCTGCGTACAACATAGAGGTTTCTGGAGTGAGGAGCTTCTTTAAATTTTGTGTTTCAGTACTAAATCATATTTATCCTGGTGCGTGTTTGTTTTTCTGTACTACATATGCCACACATGATTCCTTTCAGCTAAGACAACCTACTTGAAAGCAGCCCTGCAGAGAAGCATACTTAAGCCTAGAAACTCTTTAACTGTATTTGGGTAGTTCATACTTAGCCTGATGCTTTTGCATGTTTGCATGGAGTTGTTTCCTGTAGCAAATGTTGCTCTTCTAAAATCCAAGCCTTAATCAGGTAATTCAAGATCTTAATGCTGTGAAAGAGCATTTGTGTTCCAGGCTTTTTTGTTACCTTACTACTGTTCTCTGGATTGAAGGCTCTAATGACCTCTTAAATCCCCAACAAAATAATCTTTGGGTAACACACTTTCATTAGAAATTTTAAATCGGGTTGAATCAAGCTATTTTAGCTGCTGATGATATGGGATACATGTGGCTTTGTAGTTTACCAATATATGAAACTGCCTATATTGTCTTACAATATTGATGTGACGATCCTCCAGATACCAGCGCCAGTGCAATTCTGAGATACCCTGCCTTTCTGTGAAAAGCTCTGCACAGAAATGCATAGAGGTGTAAGCCCTTGGGGAGCTTGTGGTTTGTGTTTTAGAGAGATCTGTTTCCAAGTCTTTGCAATTTGTTTATTTGAGAAACTAGGAACTAGGCATATAAAAGACCTTGTATATCTTGTTCTCCATAAGACTTTTGTTGCTGTCATTGAGTTTTTATTGCATGTATCCAACTGGCTTAGTTCTGCCATTTCTGTGATGTCACTTGTTATTGACTGATCAAAATGGTGGTCTGTTGCATAGGTAGTTCATTTGGAAAAAAACTTTTGCTCTGGAATTGTTGGTCACCACTAAGGTGTACGGCACAGCATCTTCTAGTACTTCAGTGGTTTGAAGTAAACGCAGGAATAAGCTTTACAACCTGCTCTCTGTGCTGCAGTCCAGTGATACTTTGGCAGCAACAGCAGTGTATCATGTTCTTCCGCCGTGATTCATTCCCACCGTATGCTACCACTGGCTTGGTTGTACCAACACAGTTGATTGTGGTACTACTCGGTAAACTGGATGAAACAACTACTCACCCTTTTTCAGTGTGTGGTCACAGCTGAGGAGATGGTGTGTTACCTGAGTGGGGAGGGGAAACATGGTTTGGAAACTTCTGAAGGCAGCCTTGCTGCTGGAGAGAGCGTGGCAGTGTCTCAAAGCAGTGATCTGCCCTACAGGGAGACCAGTAATAGAGACTAGGATGGTGAGTTATGGTTGCATCTTCAGGTAGAACCATGTTACAGTGTTAAAATACATCTGCTCTTCTGTCACTGTTTGCTTGTAGCACTTAGACCTTTTGTCTTCAGAAATACTATGGTGTATTATATGCTGCTAGTAACAGCATTCAACCTCTATTAAGAATATAATGCTAAAAATGTTTAATTTGTAATGTTTTAAGTAATTTCGTATTAAAAGGAGTTTCAACTTTAGAAACTTTTTTTGCACTTTACAACCCCTAAGCCTCTAATTTTGACAGAACTTATCTATTTTTTTTTCATTTTATTTTTCCCCCCCCTAACTCTGTTAAATGAAAATCTTGGTGCAGCTATTCTGGAATAATATATGCAGTCCTGCTGTTAGCTTTTGCTGAATAGTGCTGTTCTTCCTTTTACTGATTACCTTTACAATATGCAGTTGCATACATATCTCTCTTTACATTTGACTGGAGCCTTGAAATGAGATGACTGATTTTTTTGATGTATGATAAAACTCACATGTATCGTTTTCTGCTGAAGCTCAAAAGTACTTTCTAGATTTCATTTCAGGTGATTCATGTTGGTTTAGAAATGTAATTCCTGCCATTTTCAAAAAGGATAAACTGCTTCTACATCTTCCTCCTCCTTGTTTTCTTCCAAATTCTTCCCCTCCAATGGCCTGATGGGTCTTTCTGGAGCAACGTTACTGCACTACTTCCCACCACTGATTGGTTTTTCAATAGTGCGTGTGTACATACATCAGTACTTCCCTAAGCACTATATGTTGTGCTGACCACAGTTGGTAGCACTCCAGTTGCCTGTTGCAGCTTTGTGCCAAGGCTTAATGTAGTCTGTTTTCACTTAGTACAGAAGAATCATGTATGCTCCCAGTGGGAAGACAGCAGTATGTGGATACAGATAAAGACTTTGTCAAAAAGGAAAAAGCTGAGATTTAAATGATAATGAGTTGTTGATTTGTGTGGATGGTCTTGAAGAGGAATTTGGAGGGAGGGGTTTTTGTGGCTTTTATAAATGAAGTACTTTACTATTGCTTATTTTCCTATGTTCCCTCTGCTATTTCAATGGTGTTGGAGCTGTGATCTTTCTGGAATATGCAATATAGTTCCTCCCACTATTTGTTTCTTCTGTTTGAAGCAGCATATTTGCTGCTTGTTGCAAGTTGAGGATTACTGATAGTACCTCAAAGGCATTTGGGTGAGAAGGCAGATGCAAGTTCCTTCTTGTTCAGGCTAGCAGTGGGAGCTCCAGTGTACAACAAATGACTGCTTGTAGTTGTTCCATGCTATTTTCAAAGTTCCTACTGTTCATGTGATGTAAGTTTAGAATGAATTGAGTTTTAGGCTATATCCATTTGATTATCAAACCTGCTCTTCGCATATCAGGAAAGGGATAGGGAAGCCTTTAAGTGTCAGATACTTCTTGTAACAATTCACCAGTCTGCCAAGGAAGGTTGGTTGATTGCTGATCTTTTGCAGCATGTATTTTTCTAATGCACAGTATAAGCTTGCTTTATTGTAGCTCAAGCCTATTAAATTCTGCTTGTTCTGTCGCTATTAGTGAGAATAATCTGTTCTTGGCTTCTTTTGAAAAATTCTGTATGTATTCTAATCTGGGTACTATGGCTAGTTACAGTCAAAGAACAGCTTTTCTTGTGCATGCTACTTTGTGAACATTTTATCTGGTGTCCTCTAAATAATGCAGTTTCTTGAGGTCTGATTGATCCTGAATTGAGTGAATTGTCATAGTAAACAGTAGCAGTGCCACCCAGCAATAGATATCTTGGTTTATTATATAATTTTTGGACCTACCTTTGTGGTAAACTGTTTAGGCAGTAGACTATGTAGACAAGAAGTGTGAATCTTGGAGGGGGTGTGTGTACAGAGGTTTGTGTGTGAACCTACAAATGACAGAGTATCCTGTTACTAGGTCTGAGGTCACAATCCTTATCCACTTGCAGGTACCTCTAAGGACTTGTCCCTTTGCCTGTGGGAAACTGTCTGGCAGTAAGGCAAGACTGTGGGAATCTGGCTAATTTGTACTTACGTGGTTGGAATGCAGCAGTTGTCACTGAGCTTTCAACTCATTGCATCTCCATTTCACTATTGTCTTCCTAGCCTGTGAGCTCTTCATAATGGCTTCTGAGACACTGAGTATATCTAGCTGTGATAAGAAATTGTTAGCAATATTGAAGACACTTGCTAAAGCTTATCTTTAAAACTACTGTCATTGAGTATACTTTTCCTAACTTTTTTTCTTGCTTTGTGCAGGACTTTGTTTCTGGGTAAAGAATGCAGACTATAAAGTGCGTAGTTGTTGGAGATGGTGCTGTGGGAAAAACTTGCCTTCTCATCAGCTATACCACCAATGCCTTCCCGGAAGAGTACATCCCTACTGTGTTTGACAACTACAGTGCCCAAATGACTGTTGATGGTCGGACAGTTAGCCTGAATCTCTGGGACACTGCAGGCCAGGAGGAATATGACCGCCTGCGCACGCTTTCATATCCTCAAACCAATGTATTTGTCATCTGTTTCTCCATCGGTAGCCCCTCGTCTTATGCAAATGTGAGGCACAAATGGCATCCTGAAGTTTCTCACCACTGTCCAAATGTTCCTATTCTTCTGGTGGGCACGAAGAGAGATTTGAGAAATGACCTGGAAACAGTTAAAAAGTTGAAAGAGCAAAGCTTGGCTCCCACTACCCCGCAGCAGGGGACTTCGCTGGCTAAACAAATTGGAGCAGTCAAATATTTGGAGTGCTCAGCATTGAATCAGGAGGGTGTTCGGGAGGTGTTTGCTGAAGCTGTACGTGCAGTTCTGTATCCTGTGACAAAGAAGAACACAAGAAAATGTGTCTTATTGTAGTTACCTTGGGTGATGGATGTTCGAAGTTGAATATTGACTAGAATCTTGGAGGGCTCTTTAATGAGATAAATTGAAGATTTGCATCTTGCACTAACAGCTCTAAGCAGAAATGGTTTATGCAACGAATACTCTTGCAGTCTTACTGCTTCAGGGAAACTGAAACAGAATGTTGTTTTTTTCCAACTGAGAGGTCAAATATCTATTGCTAAAGTTCCAGTCTCCACCTTCTCCAGGCATCACTTGGCTTCTGTCCTTATTTAGTGGAGGAAAATAAAAGAAGGGACTTCTTTGAAGCCACACTTCTTTACTAGATAGCCATCAGTTACTAGATTTGCTGAAAAGCACAAATTCTGATGACTTTGCTTTAAGCGTAGCTGCTGCTTTTCCCATCCCTTATTTACTGATTGAATTTGTTTTACAAACAGAAGTCTGGCTGTCCAGTTGTTTTAATTTGTCAATTTAAAGCTTGAAAACAATTTGTTTACATGCAAAAATTCCTGAAATATTAATGAGGTTCACCTTATAGTGAACTGTGATAGTTTATATGAAGAGTTAGCATAAAGCTTGTTTAATGCAATGAGCAAGACCCAGGGAACACCTGCAATGATTTTATTAATAGAAGCAGGAACTGATTTCTCCTAATGTAAGGACTTAAGATAATGATGACTCACTCAAATGAGTGATTTTCGTACTTTTGAATTGGAGAGGTGGAAGAATAGTTTAAATGCAAGTCTTCCGTAATCTAAACTGAGTTTTTATTTCACTCTCCAGAGAGACTTTGCACGCTGAGAATAAAGTTAACAGTTACCTTCTTGGACTGCCTGAGGTAGTTGGGATGACACTTCTCAAAATGAGATTTTCAGTGTGATCCCTTTGATGAATCCCAGAGACTTGATAGCAGCCTGTTTGCTCTTGGGGAATTCATTGCTTCGCTTCTTAATGTTCTTGGGGCCACCAACTGAGATTTTTACAGCAAATTCCTTTGGACTTTTTCTGGGAGGACACTGACAGAAAATTTGGAGGTTCTATTTACAGGAACCCTCCTTTCTTCCTGACAACTCACTGATGGTTTCAGTTAAATTTGTAATGGTTAGCCAATCACTGGATAGGTTTACCTGGGCAGTTTTTTTCCTCTCTAGGAGGTGATCAGTTATTATAAACTCTTTTAACTGAAGTTCTATTTACGTACTTTTTAACTTTCTTTAAGCAGCTCTAGTGAGTGGCAGCTGGCTTTTATTTTCAGGATGTGCACTGTTCTTTATGTGTGATTCCGGGACCAGCTGAGGAGTGAGCGCATGAAACCTTCCTTAGACTTAACCTTACAGCTTGGTGGTCTGAAAGCAGCATGCTTCAAAGATACTTTGTGTGAAACCAATGGTGCTGGACTGGGCTTTGTTGGCTGAAGTTGACAGTGCTGTCTTTGTCCGGATGCAGCCTCAATTGGTAATTCAGAACTTGCTTTCTTGTGATTCCCACACATGCAAAACTGCACTGGTGTATACCCTGGGCAGAAAAAAGCCTCATTTCAGGAAGATAACAGAAAATACATCAACAAGGTTATTCAGGATCTTGTGTTAATTTGACCTTGCTTTGTCTGATGTGGGCAAAAATACCAGGTGGACAGAAACATTCGTATTTGTGCCCTAATTCCCCTCTTTGAAGAGGATGTGCCTTTCTTCAGCTGGTGTAACTGATGCTGACACTAACTGCAATTTTTGTGTATCTGAGGCATGCTCATACTGGTACTGCTTTAGCAAACTGCAACCCATAGATCACAAACTGCAGTTAATCCAAATACTGATATATGTGGCTAGTGAACTAACACCGAGTTCGAAACATTGCCTGATCGCAAGCAACACCAAAACACCCGTTATGCATGATGTTTGCAGAAGCCTAGAGACTCTGCATATTTTTCTTCACCAAGTGCCATTGCCTGGAGTGTCTTTGCATCTTTTGCACTGTAGAAGAAGTGCTGTTCCAGATGGGGCTCCTACTGCAGTGCCCTGCAGGCTGTGAGGGCGTAGGAGTATTTCAGTGAGGTAACCTCTACTCACCACGTTCTGCCTTTACTTTAGTAGTAGGCCTTTAGTGTGGGCTTGACTTGCAGGCAGCAATTAACTCTGTGCCTTGTAATTCAAGATTATTTCCTGTAGGTAAATTTCAGTAACTGAGTAAATAGTTTATCATGTTTAAAATGTATTTATTTAAGCCAGTGCACATGGGGTTTTTTTTTAATGCTGGTCAGGACTAAATCAACTGTCTAGTTACGCTGGTGCAAGCCCATAACCTTTACTTCATTCAGAGATGTACTTTAAAAAGTTTGTGATATGTTAAAATAGACTTTTAATTTCAACAACAGGCACCTCTCTTTTTTTTTTGCTACATATATTTGCAATTTTGTACTGAAGCTACTACTGTTTTAAAAAGTTTTTACTTTTTTACATACTGAAGTCTTTCAGTTCTGCATCTTTTGTGGTTATTCCTAACTGGATTACAATAATTTTATGGAGAAGAAATCCCGTGAGCAAGTATTATTGCACACCCTGTCCTGTTTCTGTAGCCTCACAGAGCAGCCATCCTGATGTTAACTGGAAGAGAGTATGGTGAGATAAACTTCAACTACTTCATCAATTTATTTGAGTTGATTACATTATCCCCATCTAGATTACGTAATAAATGGATTGCACAGCAGTACTGAGGAGAATAACATGATAGTGATGAAAATGAGCAGAAAGTGAACTTTGAACACCATCAAAAACTTTTTACTGACTTTGGAGTACCTCATTAATAGTCATTTAGATGCCTTGTATTTCTGTCACTTTCTGCCAGGAGCAAAAGTCCTGCTGGCTGATAGCTGGTTTCCTCCAGCCTCTGCTTTTCATGAGAATGAGCTTCAGGAGCACACGGATCCAACGAGCTTTTCCGTTCAGTGGGCATTCTCAGTTTGTGATCTTCCTTCCTTTCCCCTCCACCCACCCTACAGTTCTTGGTGCATTTTATTGTAAGTAGTCGAGTGCTTCAATCTACAATCCATTCTGTTCCTCCCACTTTTTTTTTTTTTCCTGTGGGCAGGTGACAAATACAGACTTCACACAATCCCACAGCTGGATTTTGTCTGGTTTTGGGAGATCAGAAAACCTGGGTTAAGCTGTGCGGGTTTCCTGAACTGTTCAAGAATCTTGAACAGATTCGTCCGTTTGTTACTGAATAGAAACGCAGCGTGTATGTCTTAATTCACAGAGGAGACTCTCTATGAAGAGACCGATTTTAATCTTTCAGTTTGTGAATGATTTCTCAAATACTAATGTGTTTTTTTAAAAAAAATATAGCTGAAGCCATCCACAGGGAGCTGAGCAGTTCAGGAATTCTGTGTCCAAAGGATCTTACGAGGCACACTTAGATGTATAAGTGCTTTTTCCAGTTTACAGCTGTAGCTATTTCTATGAAATTTAAACTAGAAGAGCCTCACCATGCTTTGTCTCCGAGTGCTAAACCTCGCTCTGTAGAAACCTTGGTGCTGCTTGGGCTGACCCTGAGAAGTGGATGGATCTCACGGGGGTCCCAAGCCCCCGGGTGGGCTGTGATAAGTGCCCATTAGCAGTTGGGAGCCCAAGACTTTTAAGTGTGGTACTGATACATACACTGGCAACTTGATTTTATACTATAAAAGAATTTGTATTGCAGCTAACAGTTTTAAAGGATTTTTTAAAAAAAAAAATTACGCAGAATTAAGTTGTAATAAATCTTTCCTCATCTCTCTGGCTCTCGTATTAACTCACCCTGCTGTTTGTAACGCACCTATTCTAAACGTAGTTCTTTCCTGTGGAAAGCCAGACCCCGTTTCTTAAACGCAATAAACGATTTTTCGGTCAACGCCGGAGCCTCTGCGCTTTCTTCGGAAGGGCGGGGCGGGGCGGGGCCGTGGCCGCGCGGT